TTTCTCTTTTGGTGTTAGAGAATGATTGCTTTAACCTCTCAAATTCCCTTGTACTTGCCCAAAAGTGGAAAAGTGATCCCCTTCTTCATGGGATGGGGACCCCTATTTATACTAAAAGTGGAGAGAATAAGGTACTAGGCCTTCCTTGGGACCAGTGCTGATGTCATTCAATGCAAGAGGCGGCTGGGCTTATTTTGGGCTTGAATCATYAGYTGCTTGGGCGAGYTCGKCAGACTCYCTCCTTCTGGGCCGAGCTCGTCGTGYTTTCCTCTTCTGGGCCGAGTGTTATTGGGTCATTCTGTTCGCTGGGCCTTTTTTGGAAATAGGTTTCAAAAGTGGCAATATTTAAAGCCCATGCCCAACAGTAGATTTTTGTTTTATTGCTTCAAAACAATATACATATTATTAGTTGGACGATTGACTTCGTCCAAAGAAAACGTTGTACAATTTTAACAAATTGGTTCCATTTTCTTACGAATATGACGAAAACAATCGAATGGTTACTCGCACTCTACCGATGGAGTAGACGCAAGACTGTTAAAAAAACTACGTGATTTAGTTAGGTAGATAGACTAATCTGATTGATTTAATTACGAATATATAATGTAGATATTTTTCCGAGTGTGATTTAAACAAATAGCATGCTATCATGTATTAGCGTAATATAAAACATAACATAATATTGGTTAAAAAATAAAACACATAATAAATATACTAACTTATTTAAAATTTTGGCATATATCATTTTGAAAATAGGATGATAGAATTTAGTTATCTAGTACATATTCCCTATCTCTCTATCCTTTGTATATATTACAGCTTTATATCTGTAAAAGTCAAATCAATGTTTATATGTTTGATTTTATTTGTATTTCTTTTACCAAATATGTGAGATGTCTATTTCCTTAATCTTTTAAATTAAGGGTGGGATTCTGATTTGCCAAAACTGGAATATTAGATTTTGTTCGAACTTTACAGTTGATGTTACATGAGTTCTGATTCCGAAACTATCTTTGAACATTTTCGGTATTTTTTTCCTATCACAGTGCAATTTAAAATAGTCTCATATTCAATCAGTGTCAATTGTTAAATTGGTAACATTACAGTTGATATAAACATTACAGTTGATATAAGGGATCTTGGTAACTCAAAAATAAATGGAAAAGATACTTTGTTGTTGTGTTTT